TGCATATTGTTTGGTGTGATTGGTTGGCGGGTGCCCTGATGTCTCTCATCGATCGTCCTTATCTCCCCTTCTTTTCTGTGTTCGGTACTCTCTTGTAATACCTCTACTCTTCAGCATTTATATGACTTTATTGTGTTTCGAGTGCCGTAAAACCATTACTAACTCAAAAGTGACTGTATTTGAACATGCCCCTGTGGTACTGTATTTACCTTAGTGTGTCACATCTACTTTAAAAAACAAAAATTGGTTCTTTGCAAGTACAGGTGGACCAAGTGCTCTCACTTTGAAGTGACCTGCCTAGGTGTCAAGTAGAACGTTGACCTTGCGGAACAAATAATTATTTTCCAACATTATCGCAGTGACAACTATCTTTTGGGTGGTTGGAGTGCACCACCGATAGGTCCCACTTCTTTACCTTCGCTTCCTCTATTGCTTCTGCCTGTTTGTCTTACTTTTTACAAGCTGTAAATGATCATTGTTGTGCCAATGTACTTCACTTCACTCAAACAAAACAAAACAAACATTGACGACGACATAGTACAAATATTTTACAAATTTGTAAATTATGTTTTTTTATTAACAATTCTCTCAGTACGCACAAAATCTAGACGCTCACATAATACAAAAGTATATCACAATGTTATGCCGTGGACATGTACAATAGATATATCATTATAGATACAAAAGGACTTACAGCAGGAAAGTAATTTAACATTAATTATATTGCCGGCAGGCTGCTCAGGTGTAATGAGCCCAAAATTTTTATTAAAAAAAAATTTAATCAATAATCTCTGTTGTTGGTTGCGTGTGTTCGAGAAACATAAAAAAAAAATAATTCAGATTCAAAATGTTGGAAAAGGCAAAAGAAGATGTACAATGAAGATACAATTGTTAAAATAATGAAATGGCTGGGGTTTTTAAAAATTTGATTTTGTTTTGTTTCTTTGTCCCTACAGAAAATGTTGTCTTTCTTGGTCTTGAACAATTGAACAGCTGGCCGACGATATGTTTTCAATAATAATAATAATAATAATAATAATAATAATAATAATAATAATAATATAGTTGTGTACGTTGGTGCTACCATACGTACATGAGCTTTATTTTTTATTCTGCTTATTACTATTGTTAGATGATTTCGATGAAAGCTTGAGAGGCAATGCTACTTTGTGTTGAAAAATAAACAGCTTTGTATTATGGTCAGCATTAGACTGGAGTGGAGACCTATAAGCTAAAAGTTGTGCTGTATATAAGTAACATTTTTTTTTCTGTTTACGGCATTAAGGTGGCTCGTTGGCTTTCAGGTAGTTTGATTTATATAATTGACATCGTTTTGTATGAACGAAAAATTGGTGATAAAGTGGAAACTATGTTCGGTTCCTATACAGTTTTCGGGAAAGGCATTTTTTTCCTGAAAATATTGTAATTTGTGCCTAAGAATTAAGGTCAATACGTGCTAAGTAATTATTCCCACTTTGATTAATGTGTGCTTTTCACGTTTTCCCCACGTATTATCACTAATGTAGACCCTTACCATGTTTGTGCGAAAGAGATAAAGCGTCTAGCTTCGGTAGTTTCAGTTAAAGTTTTCTCCTTTAGAAATATCAAACAACGTTTAAGATGCCTTCTGAAAGCTTACTTAAAGGCTCTTAATTTTGATACAGGTGTAAGAAAAATGCCTAAATTGCTCTATTACATCAGACGTGTGCATTTAACTTCCAACGAGTCCTCATAATGACCTAAAAGATGAAGTTAGCAATTGAAAGTTGAGCTTCAAACTCCCCGGACCCCGCTCCTCCCTCCCTATCCCAGGAGAAACGGGGCTTCTTGGAGCCTGTTTTTGATTTTAGTCTGCTTTGTATGCCCCCCCCCCTAAAAAAAGAAGACAAACAGACGAACTAACTAAATAAACAACAGTGTATTAACAAAAAAATCCAGGATATGTCATTTTAAACGTCTGTCCTATACACATCTCAGCAGTCAAATGTCGGTACATATGCTTATGTATAACTATACAAGTCTAGTAAGGCAACTGTGTTAACATAATAAATGTAAATCAATAACCTTCAAGGGCACGCAAGTAAATGCACACGCGCACACACACACACACACATACACACACACACACACACACAACCACACACACGTACACACACACACACCGATATCGATCGAGCATGTATTCTCATTCGTAGAAATTTGAGGGACTTGCGTCATTGCTCTCACACACACGCATTTTGACATAGGTC